TTGGTGGATCCGGTTTTGATGTCATCTTATCAAGCTTCTGCAAATCTGATTTCTTCAATTTGTTTGGCTGTCCACTTCTTTTTGGTTTTGCATTATTTTGCATCGATCCGAGTTTTGAATTCTTGATGCGACTGATATGGCTGAGTGAAATCACAATACCTTTCCTTTTAAAATGGGTTTGTATAATCCTGTGGCTCCATCGAAGTTCTAAAAATGCTTGTACTAGACCAATCAGCTTTTTGTCAAATTTCTTCAAAAGCATTTTTATGATTTTATGAAATAGTATTGCAATTGAAAGTCTAATAGTAGAGCTTTAGATCAGTATGCTATATATGTAAAAAGGTTATAAAACTTTAGTGGTAGATAACCACAAAAGTGATCCCTATACTTTTTTGTTACCCTGTATATCCGTTTCGCAGGCAATTTAACTAATGATTCCCAAACTTCTCCCCTTTATTACACATTATTCAAATAAATGACTGAAAAACATTATGTAGTAGCAAAAATTTTGCTACTTTTCATCACTCTTCATCTTGCGTACAAAAAAACAAAAAACAAATTTGTAATCTTTAGCTGATGAGCAATCCTCAACATCAGATAAGGAAACACTTCCCGACTCTCAGAAAATTTTTCCTGAATTTCTGTTATTCCGCTTTTCAAACTTGTCTAACCTGCCATTCGAGCACATAAAAGTAGTCTCGCAAAATCGCTTAGCAAATTCATCAACATTTGTCCAAGTACTTGAAGATTGCGGCTTCTTCGATTGCTGAACCACTTCAGTAATGCTTCTTTTCAACATCTTTGCGATCTGCTTGTCTCAACTTTTTTCTGATATCTAAATTTTCTTCATGAGCATAAGTTGTTAATTGCCTACTTTTCCATCTGTTACAAACTGTAGATTTGGATAGTTTATATTTCCTTTCAAATATCAGCTTGATTACATCCCTTTTCAATTTTTCTGATTAAGCCCATTTTATCATCAATGGAGAACGTTTTACATTCACTGCTTGCCATAGTTAAATTTGAGTGATTTGTTTGTAGGCTTCTTTTTAACTGACTGAGAACAAAAAGGAGTTGAAATGAGGACCTTATCAACACAAATTAGTGTCCAACCTTTTGACCAATAATGAATAATTACTCATTCCCTCTGACAGAAAATGCATATTGATCCCACTGCCACCTTACAGGTTGATCATCTGCCTGGGTTGCAAACATCCGCTTGGCTGGCTTAGGGATGAGAAAGTGAGATAAAAAAAAAAGCAAGCAAGAAAAAATACTTATTGCTACATTCCTCTCTATAGATGGTTTTGAAAATCGGTATATGTATTTATTTTGAAGTAGAAATTTCAAAATTTTAAATAAAAGAACATGAAAGAGCAGCGACTTGAAAAAAAATTTACGAATTTCTTAAAAAAAAATAAAAAAAATATATCGTTTTCTTCAATGTTTTATCTAAAATAGCATAATAGAACTCATTTTTTTTAATATTTATACAAAGAAATGTCAAAATATTTCTATCATATTTTATCGATGCAATTAAATGGAGAAATTACATATTAATCATAGTCACAACTACAACGGTCATATTGCATTAATTATTAATTAATGCAATATGACCGTTAATTTTTAATTCATTACTCAATACTTTCAAGTATGAATGTTGTAAATAACTTTCAGATAATATGATGAAGATATTTCAAAATAAATATGTTTAATATAGATTTTATCACTACATACTATTAGTCAATTAACTTTATGAAGTAGACCCAAGAATTCAATAACTGCTGCATTTTTTTCACTAATTACTGAATTTTGATTTACAAATTACAGAATAATTATGAACAATTTAATAAATTGGTAAACGTGGTTGGTTTCTTACTAAACAAATGTGCGAATTATTTTTAGTTTCCTCTATTTCTGAAAGAAATACCAAGTAATTTTCAACTATTTTATTAGTTGGTTTAAATTTGGTATTAATTTCAGTGGGTTTTATTATAAAAATGCCTTTAAAACGAAAAATTAAACCAAAAAAGTATTTAATTCTCATTTACATTGAACTGTAAGAAAACAGGTTTTGAAATCGGAAAATTTCAAATTCTCAATTACAGCTTCAAATGTGACATTTCTTCGGTATTTTTTTTTAATATTTTAGAATATACATGGTATATCTCTAGATAGCAATAAAACACAGGAGAAAGGTTAAACTACAATGTTTAAATCAAAATGAATATTGAATAATACACAATTGCATTTTTTTCTTATAACGATTTTCTGCAGAATATTTAAATATTATTTTAATAAGGTTTTACATAATATTACAATTAATACTGAACTAAATTATCTATACCTATATACTTGGGAATCTTTTGACAATTAATGCAAATTGTATATAAATATTTTCATTCCTAATGTTCATTATCAATAGAGTCTATGCTGGCTATTCTAAGTATTGGGAAGGAATTAATAACATTTCTCAAAACCTACAAGATTAGTTTATATACTTTTGTTGACACTTCACACAGAAGCAGGCTAAACCAGCCACCAAATTTTACTATAATAAAGCATTTGTCTAATCCATGGCTTAAAATTATACAAAAAGAAAAATATGACCTCAATATATCAAATTCGAACACTATATATATAAAAATTTTGTGAGAAGTAATTCTGTAGATGTGTGAACAGGCTGTTCTAACAAGTTTATTATTGTGATTTGTTTTTAAATTTACCCGTTACTTTAGCATTCATTAGAGTTTTCTGTAATAGAAATTCTAACAGGTCGTCTAACAGCCTAAAGCAAATCTGAATTACAGCATCAATCAAATGTGACATTTATTAGATTCTTTTTTTAATACTTTGGAATGGTGTATCTCTAGATATGTATTCCTCCGCTTATGTTACGCTTACGAAGTGATGTGTGAACAGGCTTAATGTTCTAGTAAGTTTATTAGTGTGATTTGTTTTTAAATTTACTCGTTATTTTCACATTCATTAGAGTTTTATGTAATATAAATTCTAACAGGTCGCGTGCCTAAAACACATTTAAGAAAATTAATGCTACAACATAAATAAAGTGTAAGGTTTGCCATGTTTTGAGCATTATCCCTTATAGGCTATATTAATGTAAAATATTGACGTTGGTTCTTTTTTGTATAGCATCACATCATGACTGCTGAGTCTTCCAAATTCATTTGTTGTTTTTTTAATTGAAATTCAAACTGAGAATTGAATTCAAAGAATTCTGAGAATTGAGATTGAAATTCAAAGTTGCGTTATGTTGCAAACACTACAAGTATAATAATATAAGATGGCACGCTTTTTCAATGTCAGGCGTAAAAATCAATCAAAAATGGTAAACGGAAAGTTTTTACGACACATTTTCACCCCTAGCGCCATCTGTGGATCGCTCTACGCGAACATCCATAAAAAGTTAAATAAAAGTGGTTAACAATGTACTTACAGATTCATGTAAGATTTAGTTCCAACTAAAAATACAGCAGGTCCTTCATATGAGCCAACAGTGTCTAGAAGAAAACTGGCAGGATCACTATAGATTCGATAGAGTGACTTCTCATTAAAATTAGCCGTGTATCGCCCATCAGCATCTCTTTTGAATGGAAAAAGTTGTTTGTGTAATAAATCTTCAGGAGTCTTTTTTTTCTTTAAATGAACAAAGACATAAAAAAAGTATATTAATTTGCATATTCATTATTACTAATTTAATTCAACCATTTTTGTATATATATATATATATATATTTTTTTTTAAATTTCCAATGGCTGGGCATAAACAAGAAATAACACAGAAAACAAATGCAAAGACAAAGCAGGTGAATAAATAAACTAAACAGAATGACCGAAGTCATTGCCCTAAAAGTTCTCTGGCTTGCCAATAAAGCGACGATTCAGAGCCGGAATGCAATGCAGCACAGCGGCGGAGGTGGGTCCTATTCATGGGCTCTGCCAAGTTGCAGAGCGGGGAGCGGAGTAGACCTACCTCCTCGCGGTGCACCCTGGAAACGTATCCTTATACGGCTAAGTGGTCTACAGCTTTCGGCATGTTCTCCAGCCAATGCTATCGTCGAAAGTCAGTGCGAATAAAACAAATTATAATTTCTTTATACAAGGTTACCACGGATCTAAAACTAATTTTGAAAAGTAGTGACGAAAATAAAGCGGACGTCAATACTTTATAGAAACATTTGTGGATTACACATAACTTTTTACAGGAAATATTTTTTTCCAATGCCCAAATGGGTTGCCATTCGTCAATTTAGGCATTTATAAGGACGGATATATTGGCCACTCTTTCATGGGTACCATATTAGGTGGGCCACATTGCTCCCAAAATAAGAACAGATAATACAGAGAAGGAAAGGACATCCATGCCATGTCCGAGATTTGAACTCAGAATCTTTCTGGTGCAAAGCGAGTTCCCTGACCCCTATAGAAAGTATATCTGTATGAGAATCGGATACCTACAAGTGACGACGTCGTAGGTAAATCATGAATTGTCGATTCAAGAACCAATCAGGTTCGGCACACATGCGTGACGTAGTTTACAGATGTCCAATTAAATTACGTGGTTAGGCAAGATTACTTCACTTCTTCTTCATTTGCTAGTACTCATCAATTCTGAGTTGTCAGATCTCGAAGTTTTGAAATGGTTTCTTATAAAAGAATTTATTACTACTATTATAAATTTAAACCAATTTAACCCATGACAATAAACTTAACCCATTTAAACCGTATGTTTACTACAAAATACTGATTAAGAGTAAGAAAATATGCTTTTAAATTCCTGCAGTGTCTCGTAAAAGTCAATTCTATTCAGGGTGTTCCAACTGTAAATTATAAGTCAGTCCAAAAATACCACAAAATTTGAATCACAGTCATCTAAAATATTAGTGATAGAATTTCACGTCTATCGTTAATAAACTCGGTCTTGTTAACACGTACCCTCTTACGAAAAAGATTTCAAGGGCCATTCTAATTGCATACAAAAAACTCCCGTATACAAAAAACTCCCGTATGTTCATACAAAAAACTCCCGTATGGAAAAATATCGTAGTTCAATTCCTAAGAAACTGAGAAAAGGAGGAGAGAGAAGGCAGGAAGGTCAAGACATGGTACCGATCTTCTATCCAGATAACGTATTCGATCATTGCAATCGTGAATTATGCCTTATCTCGTCTCCTTCCTACAGTTTAAAGAGGTAATCACTGAGCAGTCTCCAATCTGGGCACTAATATTTACACGCTATCGCAAAGGGGATAGGGTGGAAGGGAAAGTAAACTATCTCGCTTACATCATTTACTATAATTCCTAAATGAATGATGCAATAGAAAGAATTGAGAGATTTTCCAATTTTAGCTACTTACAATTTCTTCGGATAATTCTGCGAACATATCATGAGCAATTTTCTTGTGCGCCTCCTCTTCATCCATATAGCTCGGAATCTTTAAAAATGAATTTGATAGTTCTCGTAAGTAATCTCTGCAATGGATTATATGCTCGTGAGAACTTGATTTTACATACGTGTCTTCGGATATTATCATCGCTACTCTCTCTGGCTGGAAAAAAAAATTATTAAAATTTATAACTTCAATCATTTTAAAATCGAGAACACTCAAACAATAAAAAGTAGAATACTAGCGAAAATGAATGAGACGATAAGAAAGTTCTGCTGATAATCCACAAACTGATCGACACATTTCTTGAAATTTCAGGGAGCACAATCGGCGTTTTGAAAATGGCGCATCTTCTAAGTTGCAGCGAATGAAGTCCGAGACAGAAATAAGCCGTCAACGCTGGGTAACCTAATTAACTGAAAAGTCGTGACTTACTTAAAAGTATTTTATATATGCTCCTTATAATTTTGCTCGCGCGTCGCCGTTGACAGTGCTGGAAGCAAAATTTTCCAAATTTATAGTTTAAAACCATTCGAAAACTGAGAACACTCAAGCAATAAACTGACGATTATTTGCAAAACTGAAAGGGACAATAACCAAAGACAAAAAAATCTTTACATACGATTTGCAAACTGGTCGACAAAAGGAATGGAAATTTGGAGGGACTGAAGAGAAATAGGTATTTTAAATATGGAGCATCCTTAAGGGAGCATAGAATGAATTCCGAGATATCAAATGAATCGCCAACACTGGTAACCTAAATATGAAATGAAAGAAATAAACCAAATTAAAAAAAAATCATGAAAATCATATAATGCGTTTGTAGCGCTACAATTTTCGAAAGACTTAAGTATAATAGTATAGTGTTAAGAAAAAAAGAAAAACTTTTAGAAGGTTACAGAAGAACACTCCATTCAATTACATGATGCCGAATCCTGAAGTAGACGAAAATCCGATGAAAAAAATTATGAAAGCTAGCTCAGGCTTTAGGAGTCTCAACAATTTCTCAAAAGCCTTAGGTATAATAATATAATGTTAAAAAAAATCTTAAAAGGTTACAGAACACTCCATTCAATTGTATAATGCCGAATCCTGGAGTTGACGAAAATCAGATGAAAAAAACTATGAAAGCTAGCTCAGGCTTTAGGAGTCTCTACAATTTTTCAAAAGCCTTAGGTATAATAATATAATGTTTAAAAAAACTCTTAAAAGGTTACAGAACACTCCATTCAGTTGCATGATGACGAATCCGAAAATCAGACGAAAAAAATCAGAAAAGTCAGATAATGCTTTAAAAAACTCTATATTTTTGGAGAGTGTCAGGTGTAAATTTAAATTTAAAAAAAAACCTTTACAAGGGTATTGAATATTCTATTTATATGATACCAAAAGCTGAAGTTACCGAAAATCAGGTAAAATAATCACGAAAGCCAGATCTTGCTTTAGGAGTTTCAGTAATTTTTGAGGAGCCTTAGGTAATATTAAAAACAAAAAAAATGCTTACAAGGCTACTGAGCATTCCATTTGTTAAATGCCGAATGCTGGATAGCCGAAAGTCAGATTTAAAAAAATTAATTAAAGCCGGATCACGCGCTAGGACTCTGTAAACTTTTTGAAGCATTAACTATAAAATTAAAAATAAATATAAACTTTTACTAGGTTATTGAACATTCCATTTATTTATAGAATTTCGAATACTGAAGTTGTCGAAAATTAGATTTTAAAAAAAAATCACGAAAGCTAGATCTAACTTAAGGAATCTACAATTAGGGAGACTTAAGTATAATATTAAAGTAAAAAATAAATATTTACAAGGCTACAGAGCATTCTATTAGTTTGTATGATGTCAAATACTGGAGTTGCCAAAAATCAGATGAAAAAAATTTTGAATACCAGATCAAGCTTTAGGTGCTCCTACAATTTTTGATGAGCCTCAGGCAAAAAATTATAAGCAAAAGTAAACGTTTAGAAGTCAACTGCAGTGTGAGCTAAGAAAATATATCTATCAATTCAACTCTGCAAATCAACATTTTATGGTAGGTAGCTTAATATCAATTCATTTTTTGTTTTGTTTTTATGTATTGATTGAGTATCTATATATGTGATCATTTTCCTTGTTTTAATTTATAATCTTATTGATTTTCATAAGTTAAAAAATAATAAAAGTGCATGTGAAAAACATAAATGTACTGTGCCACAACAGTTGAATACTAGTCATCGGATCTTAACGTACGAGGACACAATCTTTATGATTTAAAGGGGAAAACTCAAGTAAGCCAAATAATTTGAGCAAATAATTTTTACAAAGATACGAAATCAGACACAGAAGCTTGCTTTCTCTGAATAAACATAACTTCTTTTCACAGTATTTGGATTCTCAAAATATGGGTAATATGGTCCCAATAGTTTGGTCAGGAGAGTGGTTTAAATTTTAGACCCTTAAGGTAGATTTTACTATTTGCTTATTTCTCCATATCTTAACAACTTAGATGAATCAAAAAAATATTTACACGCAATTTTAAAATTCGTTTATCTAAAGACAGTCTTATGCCAGATATTGTTTTTAATAGTTTTATATTATTTAATAATTTTAAAACAAAATGATAAATAATTATTCGACAATTTTTTTTAACTGATTTACAGAAATTCAAAAGTTTGTAGGTCTAAATTCGATTCTTTAAATGATGTAAAAATTTGTAAGTAATACAAAAAAAATATTATTTTAAAGAATAGAATTTAAACCTTCCAACTTCTGAATTTCTGTAAATCAGTTAAATAGCACCTGAAAAAGTAATGCATTTGAAAATTAATTTTTTAGAAACTATTCCGTTTTTTTAATATTTTTGTGTATTTTTTTAACTTTTTTTATGTTTATTTATTATTTCTATTTTGAAATCACGTTTGTTGTAGCCTCCGAACATCAAATAAAGGGAATTTAAAAATCTTTCAAAATAATCGTTTAAAATTTGTTTGACGGCAGAGCACTATATAAATAAAGATCTATAATAAATGCTAATATTTCATTTACTAATTAAGAAATCATATAACGAAGACAATTTGGAGTTAGCACGTTGCTTTGTTAAAGACAGGAATGTTTGACGAAAAAGCAAAATTCAAAGCTCTCTTCGTCATGTAGGCACGAAGATGGTAATTGCGTAAGTATATGTCAGAAAAAAATTAGCTCTAAAGTAAAAAACTGAATGTTATTCACTGAAAATTGTTTTTTAAATTTTCATTTTTACTTATTTATTAATTTATTATGTATATATTACACTGTGCATGCTTACAACTAATTTGAACGTTTTCTTGATGAAACTTGAGGTGGATGTTTCATATATTAAAACCAAAATGATTCAAGTGTACCGTTTTTATTTGATAAAAGTCGCCTCGCCTGATGGCCTTTATGGTCGATGGATCCAACACTCCAATAAGTACCACATTTCAATGTGAATTTTGAATATCAATACTTTTCATTAATTAGTGATGTGCTTTTTTCCGTCTTAAATGTGTAAATAAAGTATTTAATATGTGAAAAAATGTATGTGAATGCTTAAGATTAATTTGAATCATATTGATTAACTAATAATTACATACTCATTTACTCAGTACGTGCGCGAATCATTTTTACTCTAAAAATCCAAGTCAAACTTATAGATTTAAATAATAAATGTTTTCCCTAAAATATGCTAACTCCCAAATTTGATTAGAATTGTCTTTTCAGTAAGGTAGGTGCATCACCGAAATTTTGAGGGTTCAACTATTGTTAATCTAATTATTGAATTTACTGGAATGAGTTGATGTAAATAGTTTCAATTACAGTTTAGATTTTGGTTTAATACATTTTCTTTTAAAATAATAATTGTCGTTTATTATTTACCATACTTTATACCATTTTCCTAACTATGAATAAGCCAGAAATATAATAGTGCACGTGAAGCCCGGTACCATAAACTTCAAAGATTGTGCACAATCTCTCTAAATAATCAATTATTTTATTAGATTGCGAAAATTAATTTCAGTTATAATACATTCTAGTCCAAATTACAGACTAAACAGACTGATTGAAATTGTTATTTGATCTTAGGGCAAGTGGCAGGTCTGCATGGACATGTCACAGATTGGCAATTTATATTAAACGTAAGGAGCAAAGCAATTACTTTCTTACGTTAAATCAAAATTTATTATTCACGAACATTAGGTTAATTTCATTAATTTTTTTTAATTACTCCCAACGTCATTCTTACTTTTATTGATTTGTTATTCATACTACTATACGGTTCCCTTACATATAATTATTTAGATTATATGATTAATATTCTAAAGCTAACGTAAAAATATTCTAAAATATAATATTTGTTAGTTAAAAATGAAACTTGAATTAAAACAACAGAAATCCAAAATATAACAAGGCGTCTAAATCCTCGAACATTCAGAAGGTGCTTTTGTTGTTGAAAATGTCGCCAAAATAGACACCAAGTTAGTGAAGGTCTAAATGTCAAGGAGAGCCTGCACCTCCTAGAAGAGAGAAGGCCTCAGCACGGATCAATTTAGTAGTTCGATTTAAAGAACATAAACTGCGAGGTGTAATAAATAAGAAAGATGCCATTACGTTTGAGCTACTAACAGATCAAGTTTCTTGTTTGAGTTAACCCGTCCAGGGGTCTTCTTCCCTTTAGGAAATATCGGAAGATCATCTTTCTTTTGCCTGTTAATTGTTATTGGATGCTGTTTAAAGACTTAAAAATCTGAAAAGTGGAATTTTGAAAATAGTACGGGGTGAACAAAAAATACGGATAGAAACATTATTTTCAGACAAAAAATATTCAAAAAATAAACATTTTAATTTAATGTACATTTTTTATGTTGTGCAATGTTACAGTAGATCAGATAAATTTCTTTTACCTTCCGAAAAGCTGCGAAAAATGCAGTGTAGGCACCCATACTATGTCCTATTAATACAGCTTTATTAGCTTTTATAATATTCAAAAAATGAAACAGATCATCGACGCTTATAGGGTAGTTAAAATCTTCAGAATATTCACTGTCACCATAGTTTCTGGCATCATATGCATAGACCTAAAAAAATTTATACAATACTACAAATGAAGATATTAAAAAGTAATTCAGTAATTTCGGTGTTCTGATCACACAAAGAGTTTAATTTCATATGAATACATTACAAATGGAATGTTTTTATTACGATTGTTTGTGTAATGTATTAATTTCAATAGTAAAAAGAGATTTATTAAAAAAAATTGTGATCTCCGAAAGGCGATCACATTTTGCCCATTGGCAAAATGGTTGTTATCTATGTTTTTTTTATCCTCTTTATTTGTGTGATATTCAACTGAATTAATATTGAAAACGATCCAGTTTAAACGGTAGGTTAGAATTTCTGATTCTTAATTAAATCAATAAAAACAAAATTATCGTTCAATGATGAAATTTTCTTTTATTCACAACTCAAGAAGTATTTATGGAGATCTCTCTGGTTCCATATCTCAAAAATAAACTCACCAACTTAATGCATAGCAAATTTAGAAGTGAAAAAAAAGAATTCTAAAAAGTTATCAAACAGAAGCGGTCGCCATAGCAGCGCATGCAATGACGACGCATGCGCAATGTTTACTATTACTCTTGAACACAGTTGAAAAGTGTGATGAAGTCCAAATAAGGTGAGCACTCCATCAAACCCAAAACAACACTCATTTTGCCAATGGGTTAAAAATATAAAAATAATTTTGTAAAAAGCTGGTCAAGTCATCCATATTTCTCTTCCAATCTGCATAACATCATTTATCATCATATAACATGAAAGTGTCGAATGTCCCTATTCTTGATGCAATGGTTAAATCTGTAAGACACTGAATAAACAAATCAGGGGTGATTGCATTCCGGGCTTTTCGGATCATCCTTCCAAGTCCAGGATAAAGGAAATTAGGAGGAATGTAATTTTTCCATAAATTTCGCGGCCTTCCGCGTACCTCAAGACCATAGTTTCGCTGACTTCCACGAATCAAAACTGAAGTTAGAATTAAGAGTTTCTCAATCTAAATATTAAATTTTAAAACTTTTGCTAAATCGCGTTAGCGAGACGGTTTCATATATGATTCTTCTGCCAATTTGATGTTTTTTTTTCTTTTTTTTTTTCTTTTTTTGATTTGTCGGATTTTTCGGATTTGTCGGATTTGTCGGATTTTGCATATTGAAACACCGTCGGAATTAGCTAACACCGCCATTTATATTCATGCGATTTAAAAACCGTACATCGCGATTCGTATTCACTTAATTTGAAAATCCAATACCGCAATTTGTATTTAAGCGGTTTTAAAATCAATATCGTGATTCGTATTCACATAAGATTAAAATCGTTCTAAATCGTATTCACGCGCACGTAATATCAAGCATCGATTTTTGCACTTATTCGTTATTTAAAAGTCACACATTGCGATTCATATTCAGGCGATTTAAAAATCATGCATCGTGATTTGCGTCTATGCGATTTAAAAATCAGTATATCGTGATTTTTATTTCCGCGTTCTTAAAATTCAACATCGCGTTTTTATAATCCGGTATCCGATACTTAGAGTCACTATCACTCCTGACATATATTTTTTCGTAAAGGGGTAATGATATGCAATTTATGATCCCCGATAACAGAGATTTTATTTGAAAGGTCAATTGGTATGTAGGACTCCAATAAGTCATATTTATTCATTTGTTCATATTTTTTCATATTTCATTGTTTCTAATAACGGATATCATTTCCTAGTAGTAGGTTTATTCATGCATATTGCATGAAGCCTGTTAACAGATATTTTGTTTTCTGGTAGGAATATTTGTACACTGTCTGACCTTGATATTCGAGATTATTTGTGCATTGGTACATACTGTATGACCCCAACTATGGACACATTTTTCTTCAAGGTGCACTAAAGTGACAATTGTTCGTTAATATCATTTTAGTCGCTCGAAACAATATGTATATGAATTTTAAACTTCACTGCACCATTAAATACGGCGCTTGAAACGCGTAATAGTCAAGTTACTGATCAAGTTCAGCCTTCAGAAAACGAACTCTATATGAGCTCTCAATCGTTGAAAGTAATATATGCTTAGAATATCTTGTGTACAAGCTTTTACTTTGTTAGGTTACGGGATAGATGCGATTGGATCATGGTAGACCAAATCTTCGTCCATCCTCACCTCTATGTAATGTTCATTATTGTTTTCCGCCATCTAGAATCGTGAAATCGTATGTTCAATCGTTGAAAGTAATTCATGCTTGGAAGATCTTACATAGTTACTTATCATGCTTTTACTATTGTTAGGTTGCGGGATAGATGCGATTGGATCATGGTAGACCAAGTCTTCGTCTATCCTCACATCTATGTAATGTCCATTATTGTTTTCCGCCATCTAGAAGCGGGAAATCGTATGTTCAATTGTTGAAAGTAATTCATGCTTGGAAGATCTTACGTAGATGCTTATCATGCTTTTACTATTGTAAGGTTACGGGATAGATGCGATTGGATCATGGTAGACCAAGTCTTCGTCTATCCTCACATCTATGTAATGTCCATTATTGTTTTAAGCCATCTAGAATCGTGAAATCGTATGTTCAATCGTTGAAAGTAATTCATGCTTGGATGATCTTACTTAGATGCTTATCATGCTTTTACTATTGTTAGGTTACGGGATAGATGCGATTGGATCATGGTAGACCAAGTCTTCGTCTATCCTTACCTCTATGTAATGTCCATTATTGTTTTCCGCCATCTAAAATCGTGAAATCGTATGTTCAATCGTTGAAAGTAATTCATGCTTGAAAGATCTTACGTAGATGCTTATCATGCTTTTACTATTGTTAGGTTACGGGATAGATGCGATTGGATCATGGTAGACCAAGTCTTTGTCTATCCTCGCATCTATGTAATGTCCATTATTGTTTTCCGCCATCTAGAAACGTGAAATCGTATGTTCAATCTTTGAAAGTAATTCATGCTTGGAAGATCTTACGTAGATGCTTATCATGCTTTGACTATTGTTAGGTTACGGGATAGATGGGATTGGATCATGGTAGGCCAAATCTTCGTCTATCCTCAACTCTATGTAATGTCCATTATTGTTTTCCGCCATCTAAAATCGTGAAATCGCATGTTCAATCGCTGAAAGTAACTCATGCTTGGAAGATCTTACGTAGATGCTTATCATGCTTTTACTGTTGTAAGGTTACGGGATAGATGCGATTGGATCATGGTAGTCTAAGTCTTCATCAATCCATACCTCTATACAATGTCCATTATTGTTTTACGCCATCTAGAATCGTGAAATCGTATGTTCAATCGTTGAAAGTAATTCATGCTTGGAAGATCTTACATAGATGCTTATTATGCTTTTACTATTGTTAGGTTACGGGATAGATGCGATTGGATCATGGTAGACCAAGTCTTCGCCTATCCTTACATCTATGTAATGTCCATTATTGTTTTCCGCCATCTAGAAGCGTGTAATCGTATATTCAATCATTGAAAGTTATTCATGCCTGGAAGATCTTACGTAGATGCTTATCATGCTTTTACTATTTTTAGGTAATGGGATAGATGCGATTGGATCATGGTAGACAGAGTCTTCGTCTATCCTCACATCTATGTAATGTCCATTATTGTTTTCCGCCATCTAGAATCGTGAAATCGCATGTTCAATCGTTAAAAGTAATTCATGCTTGGAAGATCTTACGTAGATGCTTATCATGCTTTTACTATTGTTAAGTTACGGGATATATGCGATTGGATCATGGTAGACCAAGTCTTCATCTATCCTCATATCTATGCAATGTCCGTTATTGTTTTCCGCCATCTAGAAACGTGAAATCGTATGTTCAATCGTTGAAAGTAATTCATGGTTGGAAGATCTTACGTAGATGCTTATCATGCTTTTACTATTGTTAGGTTACGGGATAGATGCGATTGGATCATGCTAGACCAAGTGTTCGTCCATCCTCACATCTATGTAATGTCCATTATTGTTTTCCGCCATCTAGAAGCGTGAAATCGTATGTTCAATCGTTGAAAGTAATTCATGCTTGGAAGATCTTACGTAGATGCTTATCATGCTTTTACTATTGTTAGGTTACAGGATAGATGCGATTGGATCATGGTAGACCAAGTCTTCGTCTATCCTCACACCTATGTAATGTCCATTATTATTTTCCGCCATCTAGAAACGTGAAATCGTATGTTCAATCGTTGAAAGTAATTCATGCTTGGAAGATCTTACGTAGATGCTTATCACGCTTTTACTATTGTTAGGTTACGGGATAGAAGCGATTGGATCATGGTTAGGACTGGGCGATATTAGAAATTATATATCGTGATATATCGTCAGTTTTGCATCGCGATATAGCGATGTATCGCGATATAGTATTTTTGAATTTCATTTACTTTAAGGCACAGAAAGTCAGATTTCTATCAAGACTTCATACGCATATTGATTTAAATCAATTTATAAATTTGAAAATATATATGTTTTGCTAAAGAAAGATATTAAATAAATTGACTAAGATGTACAAATCTTACTTAAAATATTTATTGAAAAAATGTGTGTAGATACAGAATGAAATATTTGCACTTCTTTATCGTTTATAAGGTATAAGCAGTCTTAATTTAA